GAGAGCAGCTCCCTTTTGGGTGGAACATTGCTCTATAAACTAATTACACGGCACCTATACGACTGTCCCCAAGGGCAACCACGTAGCCGTTTTTGAGACAAGGATAACTCTATCACTAACCAAACCAGTGGTAGCAGTTGACATCTGAGTCAGATGACCGCCTGTATTACTTGGGATAAATGCAGGGGGTACATCTTGAGTTAATAGCCAACAAACATTGGCGAATCAAAAGGTTCAGCCGGCCTCCGCCGCCTGGTACCTTTACTACTCAAGCAGGAGTGACGGCGACTGAGTAACACCAAAGTTAACTTATAGTCACTCTCTCAAACTTAGTATGGAGCCTAAAAGGTATGAGTCGTCCGCCTGTTTTTAGCAAACAGGGGCTCTCAGCCACTACTCCTGCTAGGTTAACAACCTATGAGTTAAAAGCCAACAAACATTGGCGAATAAAGGGGAACAACCGGTACCCACCGCTTGATACCTCTACTACTCAGTTACTTGGCGACTAGGTAACAATCATGTTTACTTGGTCACTCCTTAAAAATTTAGTATGAAACTAAAAAGGTGTTCATACAGCACCTGTTCACACTAGATTAAATATGGCGGGGAACAGTCGGCCTAGACGGCCTAAAGTCTCTAGCCTAAAAACATGACAAGTAGGAAACCACTTTCCTACTTGGTTAATTTTATATGACAGAACCGCCTGCCTAAAGGGGATCCAGTCTTTAAAATGGTTCGAATACCGATTGGATAAATGGCCGACTGATCGTCTAGCCTAGAAACAGACGACCAGTCGTCCAGGGGCATAGGCGGCGTGACTAACTATCTGTACCTGTCTGCAACTATCGGCCATGTAAAACAGTCGGTATAGTGTACAATTGGATATCAGAATATTCAATACTTGAACAAGTTTGAAGCAAAACAAAAATATTCATTAAAAGGAAGCCGGTCATTAAAGACCGGCGAAATATTCAGAGCCCCGGCCCCCTGGCCGGGTAAATACAAACAAACGACACGCAGGCCGTGGAAAGAAGACATAAAGCTTAAGAAGGGGGCAAATCTTCAATATTAGCAGCTGCCGCCTGGTCAACACTCTTCTTGCTGGACTCGGCTTCAGCTGCATCCTTCTTTGATGCATTACCCCCAAGCGGCACAAGCGCCACTACCGGCTGCTCCTCCTCCTCCAACGCCTCTTCCTCAGCAGCCGCCAGGATCTCTTGATTATATCTATCAGAACACTGGCAGTACGTTTTTTCCCATGAGGCAAAGTCGGCATTGGGGAAGAGGCGGCCCCAAGTCATGCGCTGATTTGAGCAGAGTCTTCCATCATCTCCCGGACCAGCTCTTTCTTTTCTTGCTCGGCCTTTTCCGAGAGCTCCTGAGTAAGACTCTTCTCTTGGGTCACCAGGCGTTCCTTTACGCTCGCCAAGGATTTCTCCAAGGTTTCGTATGAGGACATCTTTTGGCGAAGAGGTCTCAGCTCGGCCTTGAGGTTGTTGATGGTCGCCTCCAGCTCGCTATTCCTCTTCTGGGCCGCCTCTAACTGAGCCCAGATAGCGGCGGTAGCCTGCGCCTGATAATAAAGAATATCAATGGTCAGAACTTCATTTTGGGCAATTTGAAACATTGCCTTATCACAGTCAGAGGCGGCCATAGCTTTTACAGCCTTTACCTCTTTGTTCTTCCGGTCAAGCGGCTTGCGAAGGTCGTTCACTCGGAGCAGGGCCTAAGTAAAAAGGGGAACAGGCGTCAATTTCCAAACAAAAAGAAAACAGGCGTCCTGGAATTCAAATACTCAAAAATATGCTAAGTATACCTCAGCAAGGACCCCTGCAATCCCGTCTAGGTCAAGGGTGCCGACACCCCTGACCGCTTCCCTTTCAGCTGGAGGTACGACCTTGATCATAGACTTGGCCACTTCGACCAAGTCAGGCTCCTGAGGGCCGGCTGCATCAAGCATAAACAAACGGATTAGACCTAGTAAAGAAGGGAGCAAGTCTAAAATTTACAAGGACAATTTCATACTTCTAGGTGGCCCAGCTGGAGTTTTAGAAGAAGTGGTCGGCTGTTTCTCAGCCGCCGCATGTTTCCTGGCAGAACCAGGAGAGCTCGCAACAGTCGTCCTCCGGGCCTTGGGGTCCGGCTGTTGGGAAGAAGAAGCTCTTGGAGCGCCCGTCTAAAAAAGAAGAAAAGAGTCAGTATATGCATAAACACAACTCCAAAAAGAGGGTGAAAGGTTCGAAGCCCACCAAGGGTGCCCCCTTGTTGGGGGAGTCGGTTGAAGACTGTTGCATGATGGATGCCCGCAACATGGCCGCCGCAGTCTTGGAGGCGGTAATTTTGCTCATGGCGTCCGCTGCAAAAACAAATAGCAAAGTTAATAAAAGTCATAACAAGAAATTCATGGAACAACAGAGTATTCGACAGGCCGGCTACCTCTTGAGCACCGACTGCTGAGGCCACAGGCGGCCAAAAAGTACTCGTCGTAGAGCCATTTTAAGCTCGGGACGCAGTGCAGGGGTACTTGCTCTCGTACCCCTGAAGTAGAGTTCACCTTCGACTCTACTTTGAAGAGTCCTTTATCTAGGATCTCTTTCTTAGGCTTGGGGGGAACAGGCGGCATGCTGCGGCCGCCTGCAAGAAGGGGCGGATTCCTGTTCCACCTGTTGAAGCGCTTGTTCAGCTCTGTGTCTGAACTCTCAATGATAAGGAAGGTGCTCCGCCAGTCCTTCCATTTGTTTGCTTTACCTCTCGTCATGAGGTAGCCCCTGTGGCTCGTCAATTGATACCAGCCGGTACCGCCTGCCTTAGGGGTCCGGCTGAGGTAGTTCATGTGGGCGAAAGCCTCGAAGTTCGGCTCCACCCCGTGCAGTTCGCACCCGGCCACATAGCCGAGTACGTTGACCCAGGAGTTCGGGGCTAACTGCCATAACCCCAACTCATACCCATCCAAGATCCGCTGAACAGCCGGATGTAGTGGGAAGCGCAGCCCAGCCTTGATGGCCGCCTCGTAGCAGCCAAAGCAGGCGCCATCATAACTGATACCAGCCGGCCATACGACTGTGTCTTCTGGATCCGGCACGAACACTAAAAAGTCGGGGCCCATTGTGTGGTTTGCGATAAAGCTCTCCACTTTCTCTTGCATGGCCGTGATCCGGCCTCGAGGTACCGTGCAGTAGTAGGGGGTATTTTACTCTCGGTGAGAGGCGGATGGCTCCGCCCAATCGTCCCCCTTCTCAACTGCGTGAGAAAGCCTCGCCTCTTGTAGGCGACTGTTTTTCTCTTCTGTGTCCAGGGAAGCATGGCCAGAAGAGCTAGACTCGGAATCGTCCTCTGACGAGTCCGAAGAGGACGACTCCTCCCCTCTCCCGGAGGGGCCCGCCTCTTCTCCTTTAAAAGGAGCAGGAGAGAATGTAGAATTGTCAACTGTAAAATGGGAAGGGGTCACTTTGACTCCTCCCTCAGAACTGTCGGCTTTCAAGTCTCTTTGTTTCACTTCCACATCTGGCGCCTGGTCAGATGTTTCACTAATCGGCACCCTGTGGGAGGAGCCGTCTGAGTTTGAGATCCTGGCAGTCTTTTTTGTTCTGGCCATCATGCTCTGCATAGACACAGATACAATCGGACTTTGTATAAAGAGCAAAGATGGGTCCAGAAAAGGGCAGGCGGCACTCCTAGTCCTAGATTCAGCCGTCCCCAGTGACTGGCTGATCACTAACCTAGGTCGTGTCGTGTGCTTCCGTGGTGCCATTTCAAAAAGAATAAAGTAAAGAGAAAATTAAGAGTAAGAGAACCGACGGTTACCTGAACGAGTGACGATTAATGAAGTTCTGAAAATCCTTTGCAGTCGGCTTGTCAGAGCAGGCGGTAGGCAGAAAGGGTCCAAAATGTCAGAGCAAATTCAGGGGTCCGAATGTTCTCTCACAAAGTTTTCAAGTGTGAAAATGACCGAAGTCAACACTCCTTTATATAGGCGAAGTGAGAAGGCGAAGGGTCACTTCCAGAATTCAAGGCATTTGGCGGGAGAATCTCTCGGCCTCTCGCCGAGTGACACCTGTAGCAGGTCGTCGCCTGTTACAGGGCGATACCTGTCACAGGTAACACGTGACCAGTCACGTGCCACCTGTGAGGGGCAAATGATTAGGGGATTTTTCCCCACCAATCACCATCTGACAAGTGGACCAATCAGGTTCCACCATGTGTCCGTCACATGGGCCAATAGGAGCCTTCCATGTGTCAAGCAATGATCCGTCCACTATGGACCAATTACGACACGACACGTGTCCTTCCCATGACACCTGGGATAACCGGTCACCTAGGCCCAACTTCCGAGGGAAGCCCAATCAGCCCAAGGTTAACCTAAACCTAGATTGGCACGTTTCCCGAGGTTATAAATACCTCCCTTAATCCTCATTAAGGGAGATTACGCAAAAAACGCAGATTACACACATTAAACACTCTCACCTAGAGAGACCCAATCACTTTAATTTTCGCATTAATTACTCCTTAATCAAGTACTAACTTGACCGTCGGAGGCGGATCTCCAATCATCCGGAGCATCCGTTTGTTTTGCAGGTACAGGCGTCCGGTTCCAGTCTCGGAATTGTAACTCTCTCGCAGGACATCAGAAAACCCCGAAACAATTGCTCTACTAAACCTGCTCCTTCTAAGCCTAAGCAGGTTCATAAGCAGCCAGCTCCTGTTGCTCCTAAGCAGAAGCAGGCCTGGGTTCCTAAGCCCAATCAAGCTCCTGCTCCTGTTGTTGATGTTGATGCTTTTGTTCATGGGCAATCTGTTATCACTCCACAGGTTCATACTTTTCAAAACTCAGATAAGGGGTGGAGAATAGTTGGAAGGAAGACAAAGAGCCAGCAAACTAGGGTTAATCAGCCTGCTTCTACCTCTAATGCTTTTGTTGCTTTATTTGCAAATGAAATGGATGGTGCAGGTGGTTTCACTATAAATCCAAGCGGGGGTGAGGTTAATCCCCCTTTGGTGTCATGATTTTCTCTATTTGGAATGTAAGGGGCTTGAATGACCCTGGAAAAGTTGCCTCTGTAAAGAGGTTGCTTCATTCTCATTCAGTTGATGTTATTGGCCGTCTTGAAACAAAAGTCAAATCAAACAATGTTTTCAGTTACCAAAAGAAGTTTGGCTCTTCTTGGCTTTGGGTGTTCAATTATGATCATTCTCCTAAACGGAGGATTTGGCTTGGTTGGAATGCAAATAGAGTAACTGTCAATGTCTTAAAGATTCATGAGCAGTTTATACATTGTTATGTCCTTTCTAAGGATCTTTCTACTCAAATTCATCTCACTGTTATCTATGGGCTTCATTCTATTCATGATAGGCTTCCTATGTGGGAAGGGATTAGGAACATCTCTATTCAGCATTCTCCTTGGCTCTATGCTGGTGACTTTAACTCTGTTCTTCATACTTTAGATAGGCTTCATGGTACTGGTGTTACTGATTATGAGACTAGAGATTTCCAGAGTTTGGTTGATGATTTGGACCTCACTGAGGTCAAGAGCAAAGGAGCCTTCTACTCTTGGTCAAATAAGGCTCACACTGGTCCTAGAACTCTTTCTAGGATTGATAGAGTCTTTGGTAACCAAGCTTGGTTGGACTCTCATGGTCATGTTGAAACTGTTTATCTTCCCCCTTCTTTATCTGACCACAGTCCAATTCTTTTGGATATTTGTCCTGCTCCTTCTGGGAAAGGTAGACCTTTAAGATTTCTCAACTATATTGTTGATCATCCTGATTTCCTTGATACTGTTTCTCAGGCTTGGTGTTCTGGTAGTTCTGTTTGGCAGAAGCTTAATTCTGTGAAGTCTAGTATCAAGTCTCTTAATAGCAAGCAGTTTGGCAATATTGTTGAGAAGATTGATCAAGCTAATGCTGAGCTTGCTGGAATTCAGAACTTAATGGCTTAGAATCCTGATGATTTGGATTTATATGCAAAAGAATCTGATGCTATTAAGGTTGTCAAACACTAGAATGATATTCAAGAAAGCATCTTCAAACAAAAGTCTAGGATCAACAGGATTAAGATTGGTGATGGCAATTCCCATTATTTTTTCTCAGTGATGAAGAATAGGCAAGCAAGGAACAGAATTGACTATTTTTGTCTCTAACTAGGTTTTGCTTAAGGACCCGAATTCTGTTTCTCATGAGATTATTTCTTTCTATAAGTTTCTTTTAGGGACTAAGGCTCCTTGGCTTCTTGCTGTTAATCTTGTTACTATGAGGAGAGGTAAACAGCTTAGCTCTGTGTCTTAGAGCTATCTCATTCAGCCTGTTTCTCATGCTGAAATTGATGCTGCCCTTAAGGGAATTGATAGCACTAAAGCTCTTGGTATTGATGGCTTTAACTCCTTTTTCTTTAAGAGAGCTTGGCATATTGTGAAAGATGATATTTATGCAAGTGTTATTGTTTCCTTTACAAAAGGGATCTTACCTAAGCAATGGAATTGCACAACTATCACTCTTGTTCCTAAAATCCCTAATGCTTCTCATGTTAAGGATTTTAGACCTATAGCTTGTTGCACTGTTGTTTATAAGCTTATTTCTAAGGTCATAACTGCTAGGCTTGCTGCTGTCATTGGTGAGGTCATTGATGATGCTCAAGCAGGTTTTATTCCAGGCAAGCACATTGGAGACAATATCCTTCTTGCAACTGAGTTGATCAAAGGCAATGATCATAAATTTATTTCACCTAGATGCATGGTTAAGGTTGATCTGAAGAAAGCCTATGACTCAGTTGAGTGGGGATTCTTGATTACTGTTATGTAGGAGCTTGGTTTTCCTCAAAGGTTTATTAACTAGATCTGGACTTGTCTTACTTCTGTCTCTTATTCTATTCTTATCAATGGTTTCCCTTCCCCTCCCTTTGAAGCTAGGAAAGGTTTAAGGCATGGTGATCCTATGTCTCCTTTTCTTTTTGCTATTGGTATGGAATACCTGTCCAGATGCTTTGATGAGCTTAGGTTAACTCCTGATTTTAACTTTCATCCTAGATGTGAAAATTTAAACCTAACTCATATGATGTTTGCTGATGATTTGTTGATGTTCTCTAGAGATGATAGTGTTTCTGTCAAGCTTCTCTTCCAAGCTTTCTTAAAATTTTCTGGTACTTCTGGTCTTTCTACTAATCTTGATAAAAGTGAAGTCTACTTTGGAGGAGTTCCTACTGATGTTCAGGCAGAACTTAAAGAGCTTCTTGGTGTTTCTCAAGGTTCTATTCCTTTTAGATATCTTGGGGTCCCTCTCTCTTCTAAGAAGCATATAATTTCTCAGTGTAGGCCTTTGGTGGAGAAAGTGACTGCTAGAATTCAAGGGTAGATGGCTAAACACTTGTCCTATGCTGGGAGGCTCCAGTTGGTTAAGAGTGTGATGTTTGGTATTCAGACATATTGGGCTCAAATTTTTATCTTACCAAAGAAAATTCTGAAAGAGATTGAGGCTAGATTCAGATGCTCTCTTTGGACTGGCTCCTCTGCTCCTGCTAGGAAATCTTTGGTTGCATGGAATTATGTCTGTCTTCCTAAAGTCTGTGGTGGTTGGAATTTGCTTTCTCTACCTGAGTGGAATAAGGCAGTTGTCACTAAGTTACTTTGGGATATTGCTCACAAGGCTGATAATCTTTGGGTTAAGTGGGTCCATATTTATTATTTCAAGCATAAAGATTGTTGGACCACTCCTATCCCTGCTAAATGCTCTTGTTTTTTGAAGAAAATCCTAAGTTGTAGAGATATTGTGAATGATCAAGGGGGGGGGGGATGGTTTCATACAAGGCAATAAGATGAAAATCAAGAAGCTTTATGCTGCTATTAGGCCTCAAGTCCCTAAGGTTCCTTGGAAGAGGATCATTTGTCATAACTTGGCAACTCCTAAAAGTGTGTTTATCTTGTGGATAGCTCTGTGGGATAGGCTCGTTACTAAGGATAGGTTGCTTCAATGGCACATCTCTTGTGATCCAAGGTGTTTCTTTTGCTTGAATAGTAATGAAAGTGTTCAACACTTATTCTTTGATTGTGAGTACTCTAGGCAGGTTTGGAACAAGGTTATAGGTATTTTACATGTCCCAAAGCCTGTTCAGCAGTTTGATGATGAGATTGAATGGTTGAAGAAAATCTGCAGAAGTTCCAGAATGAAAAACAAAGTGATCCAGGTTGCCGTCACTGAAACAGTTTATGGTATTTGGATACAGAGGAATGCAGTTTTGTTTACTGGTTGTTGTAAGCCTGCTGATGTTCTAGTTAGAGATATTATCTTTCATTCAGCTTGTAGAATCCCAGCTGGAAGCAAGCACTTGATTGTGTAGTTTTTTGCTTAGTTGGGTTGACTGGGAGCTGGTTCTGGTTGCTGTTCTAACGGGTTTGCTGCCGTGTTCTGGTCCCAGATGGCTCTTGATGTTCTAATTCTTGGTGGCAGCTGTTTTTCAGGTGCTTTGGCATTGGCTGCATTGTTGCTGTTTCTACAGTTGCTGTTCTGGCAGGCTGTTGCTGATTCTGCAGTTGATGATTCAGGTGGATGTTGCTGAAGTCTGTAGCAGCTGTTTCTGTATGCTGCACCCTGGTTTCTGGGTGGCAGCTGGTTTTTAGGTGGTTGCTGTGTTTGCAGTTGCTGTTCTGGCAGGTTGCTCTGATGCAACAAGTCTGTCAGGTGATGCTGCTGCTGTTCTAGTTTGATGTTGCTGTTTCTGGTTTGCTGTTTTGGGTGTGCTGCTGCTGCTGTTTTCTGGTCAGCAAGTCTGACAGCAAGTCTGCTGCAGCTTGAGTGTTGGTGTTGCCTTTTTGTTTTGGCAGCTAGTAGTTTGAGGTTTTTTTCTCTTGTTTTGTTAGCTGCTCTTGCTTCTTTGTATGCTGGTTTAGGCTAGTTTTAGTGTTTTTAGCTGCTCTTTTTGTCTATTTTGTATGCTGGTTTTGTCTTAGGTGTTTTTGTTTGGTCCTGGCTCTCAAAACCCTTCCTAGAAGGTGGATATGAGCTTGAGTCCAGTAGGTGTCCTTGTTTCTCTCAAGCACCCTTCCTAGAAGGTGGTTTGGGTAGATTCTTGGACTGTTGGTGTTGGTTTGGCCTTTTTGGTCTGTGGTGTTTGGTGTTGTTACAGCTTAACTTCTTGTAAGTTGTAACTTTCTGATTTTGGCAATAAAATTCATATTTTCCAAAAAAAAAAAGCTTTTTGAATCAAATGAAAGTCAAACACATTCAAACAAAGCTTTTTGAATCATATGAATCAAACACATTCGAAAAAAGCTTTTTGAATAACATGAAAGTCAAACACATTCAAACAAAGAATTTTAAATCAAATGAAAGTCAAACACATTCAAACAAAGCTTTTAACATCAAATGAAAGTCAAAGGTATTCAAACAAAGCTCTTTGAATTAAATAAATGAAACTCATTCAAACAAAGATTATTGAATCAAATAAAAGTCAAACATATTTAAAGAAAGCTTTTTGAATAAAATGAATCAAACACATTCAAACAAAGCTTTTTGAATAATATAAAAGTCAAACACATTCAAACAAAGCTTTTTAAATCAAATGAATGTCAAACACATTCTAACAAAGCTTTTTGAATCAAATGAAATTCATACACATTCAAACAAAGCTTTTTTAATCAAATAAAAGTCAAACACATTAAAACTAAATTTTTTTAATCAAATGAAAGTTAAACACATTCAAACAAAGCCTTTTGAATCGAATGAAAGTCAAACACATTCAAAAAAATATTTTTAAATCAAATGAAAGTCAAACACAATCAAACAAATCTTTTTGAATCGAATGAAAGTGAAACACATTTCAAGAAAGCAAATTGAATAAAATCAAAGTAAAACACTTTCAAACAAAGCTTTTAGAATTAAATGAAAGTTAAACACATTCAAACAAAGCTTTTTTAATCAAATAAAATTCAAACACAATCAGACAAAGCTATTTTAATTCAAACACAAATGAAAGTCAGACACATTCAACAAAGCTTTTAGAATCAAATAAAGGTCAAATGCATTCAACGAAGCTAATTGAATTAAATAAAAGTCAAACACATTCAAACAAAAGTTTATAAATCCTTAGAAAGTTAAACGCATTTAAACAAAAGTTTTTGAATTGAATGAAAGTTAAACACATTCAAACAAAGATTTTTAAATCAAATGAAAGTCAAACACATTAAAACAAAACTTGTTTAATCAAATAAAAATCAAACTCATTCAAACAAAGCTTTTTGAATCGAATGAAAGTCAAATGCATTCAACGAAGCTAATTGAATAATATGAAAGTTAAACACATTCAACCAAAGATTTTCGAATCAAATAAAAGTCAAACACATTCAAACAAATCTTTTTAAATCAAATGAAAGTCAAACAAATTCAAATAAAGCTTTTTGAATCGAATGAAAGTCAAATACATTCAAACAGAGCGTTTTGAATCGAATGAAAGTCAAACACATTCAAACAAAGATCTTTAAATCAAAAGAAAGTAAAACACATTCAAACAAAGCTTTTTGAATCAAATTAAAATTAAACACATTTAAACAAAGTTTTTTAATTTGTATGAAAGGCAAACACATTCAAACAAAGCTTTTTTAATCAAATGAAAGTCAAACACATTCAAACAAATCTTTTTACATCAAATGAAAGTAAAACAAATTCAATCAAAGATTTATGAATCAAATGAAAGTTAAAAACACATAAACAAAACTTTTTGAATTGAATTAAAGTTAAACACATTAAAACAAAGCTTTTTGAAACAAATGAAAGTCAAACACATTCAAACAAAACTTTTTTAATCAAATGAAAATCAAACACATTCAAACAATGCGTTTTCAATCGAATGAAAGTCAAACACATTTAAACAAAGCTTTTTGAATTAAATGAATCAAACACATTAAAACAAAGGTTTTTGAACAATATGAAAGTCAAACACATTCAAATAAAG